TGCCCCCCCCCCCGGGGTGGCTATTTGGGTAGCATGCTTGCGTTCGATTCCCAGCTGGGGTGATGGATTCGTGCACTGCTAACAGGATGAGTCCCGCAACCACGTGGAATCAGCTGCTGTCCAGCTGTTCTCCCTAGCTTTTCAGTTCACACTTCATTTGCTCTATCTATACCCACGACGAATTCCCTCACGAGAACTTCAACTGATTGGTCTGTTGATCTGTTTCTGCATTCCCGTCGAATTTCTATTTCCCATAGTTTCAAATTCCCAATCGACGCCGAGGCCTGCGCAACATTTTCCGCCACAGTCCGGGTGGTAATTCCGCCACTCGACGAACGATTCGAAGTGGAACGTCCAAATTACGCAAAAAAGCGGCTGTCTCATCCAAACTGGACGGAGAGGAATCCGGTTTAGTTAAACATGCGCTCAGTATTGGTTCGCTATTCTCCCGACGCACACGTCGATCGCAACTGAAGAACGATGTCTCCGCAACTTCCGGATTCGAACTGCGAGAAGAGAGTGAAGAAGCTAGTACGACAGATTCTGCGCGACCGGATTTGGCGTACGACGGTCTGGCACTGGCCACAGCCTCCCTAGACAGTCCTGATGGTCCTCAACGGTTGTCTCTTGGTATCGGCTCGTCGAAGGTAACTGCACCCATGCGTGCTCCCATCGCTGGTGAAACATCATCCACAACAAGCACCAGCTCCACCATCGCCGGCATTGTTCAACCGCAGGCAGCCGCATCCGGTCAAGGTCGTGATCCGGAATCGGGACATCATATTACGTCAGCTTCACGCGGCCCAGGGCCGAGTGCAGTGAGCGAACCTAGTCTGTCCCATGCACAACTGTTACCTCCCGTTGTACCTCGATTGCAGTTAGATTTGCCCACTCCTCGCGCTTTGCATGGTACCCAAGTCAAGGCTACCGGTTCTCGATGGCCAAACCCGGACCTGGAGCCGGATGATTCTGTCGGTGGAGATGAAGTTGACCTTGGACTAGCAGACAGGCAAACCGATTCAGGTGAGCATCCACCTCCATCCCCATCTGAGTCAGTGAGAGTCATAATTCATTGATACAAATTGATTGGCATATTGATTTTATCACTTTTTCCTGTTAAGCAATACGTGAGCGTGTGTTTATTAATTCAAACTAGCGAAGATTTCTGTTCCGGTGAAAAAGGAAACCGGACAAAAGTAATTTTATCACATTCGAAATTCTATGTGGTAAACAGCTGTGCACTTATGTAATATCACTACAAAAGTGGCAGTTATGTAAATGACGAAGTGAACCGCCCCGTTCAAGCACATCATTAGGAGTTTGTGCGTTCCAGGCCCGACAACGTCGTCCGTTTCTATTCATCTCCCGCGATCGCTTTCAATACAACGCAACTTTCATAGATTACGTTGGTTGAGGCATGTGTTATGCATGTCACCAAATAGGTTACCACGGCGAGCGATGTTTGCCGAAGCAGGTAGTGAATGGAATAAAGCCAACGGTGGGCAACCTAAGACCTGGCATGAGAGTATGAAAACCCTAACCAGGAGTGTGGGTCACATAGGTCTCATTAGGTTCCCTGGCCAGGGACCGCACGATGGTTATACCCGATGGTTAGACACACTGAGTGATATGTCTGAGTGTCCTAAACAGTGGCGTTCGTGCATCTTCTCAATTTTCTCTCCCCGAGCCTACTTTCAACCTTTGTGTTTTCCTCCTATTGTTCATCCAAATGGGCAACCAAAAAACAGCAACCAAAAACGGCGCACGATATTGCATGGTTATTGGTTGTCCGAACTCAACCGAACTTCCACCCTCTTCCTCTCCACCTGGTATTTCGTCTGGCAGTTTTCATATTTTTGCATCCATCCATGAAATGATACATTTTTGAGCCTATTATCAGCCATTATTCTTTGCTAGGCAAGTATCATCATCATCATCGTCATCATCATCATCATCATCATTGTACAGCGTAATACAGTAAGGAGACTATCACTGATCACTGCCAAACTCATATTCAGTTTCGGTTCGTATAACCATTAACTATGCACTCTCACGCGCCGGTTTTGGATTGCTGTCTTTTGGCTGCCTCCATTTGGATAAACATGAGAGAGAAAAATAAAAAAGGTTGAAAGTAGGATCAAAGAGAAAAGTTAGAATTTTATTGCCCTCATTTTGCAGACAAAGTGACGAGATGCACGAATGCCACTGTTTACAACACTCAGCCATAGCACACTCAGTGTCTCTAACCATCGTTGAACATGATCTCGGGGTCCCCGGCCGGGGAGTCTAACGAGATTTATGTTCACCTGTCTCCTGGTTAGGGTTCTCATGCCCTCATACCAGGTCTTTTTTCCACTTACTGCCTGCCGTGGCAACCTATCTAGTGATATGCGTAGCACATGTCCCAACCAGCGTAATCTATGGAGGTCGATCACTTGCTCTGGTGGACGACCGCGACTGCCTAAAACTCTACGCCTAATCTCAGCATTGCTAGTCCGGTTACCCCACCAGACACGTGCAATGCTACGTAAACAGCGGTGCTCGAACACCGAAAATCTATTTTTATCCTGTTCCCTTAGTGGCCAAGTCTCTGCACCGTAGAGCAGGAATGGCCGAACTGCTGCAGCATACACTTCTATCCTGGTTCCGTAACCACGAAGTCTCTGCACCGTAAAGCAGTACTGGCCGAACTGCTGCAGCATATACTCGATCCTTCACAGACAGCCGACTGTCGCGACGGCGCAACAGATATCTCAAGTTGGAAAATGCCAACCGAGCCTTTTGTATACCCGCCGACATTTCATGTGCGATGATGCGTCCGCCAGATGAGATATAAATGCCCAGGATAACAAAACTCGTCTACTTCCCCAGTCAGAGTGAGGTTGGGGAATGGACCAACCCAATTTTTTAGTAGTATTTTACACTTTGAAGGTGCAAAACGCATGCTGAACATCGCTACACTAGCGCTCAAATTATCCAGAAAAGCTTGCAACTTACCTGGATCATCACTTAGTAGCACAATGTTGTCTGCATAATTTATATCAAACAGTCTACTTCCTGGGAGTGAATGGATACCGCTGTCCCCGCACGAGGATAGGGCTGTTTCAAGAATGTAATCTATCACGAAGTTAAATAGAAATGGAGCGAGAGAGAGCAACCCTGTCGAACACCACTTTCCGTGGTGAACTCGGGTGAAAAAGTGCCTTAAGCTCGGACTCGGCTTCGGCTATTCGTATAAAGCTATTGTAGTATTGCGATTAACTTCTCGGGAATACCTTTCGGGGAAAGGCAGCGCCAAAGTTTAGAGCAGTCGACTGAGGCGAAGGCCGCTTTCAGGTCGAGGAAGACAGAGGTGGTTGGTCCACGAAAGGAATGTCGATGGTCCAGAATTTGGCGAAGAATGAAGATGTGGTCGACACAACCTCGATCATGTCTAAAACCAGCCTGGTTCTCACGTGTGCACTCTTCACGAGCGGCACATAATCGACGGAGTATAATGCCCGCGAGAAGTTTACAGACGATGTTGCTTAAACTCGTATTGCATACCAGGTAATTGAGAATGTGAAAGGATGATACGGGTTGGACAGGAAAAGGAAGTGAAATTCTATGGTCAACCCACACAGTCCAATTGTGCATGCGCACCTGGCATGAGGGTATGAAAATCCTAACCAGGGGCTGGTTCACTTAGATCCCGTTAGGCTTCCTGGCTGGGGACCCCGAGCTGATGATCACCGATGGTTAGAGACACTGAGTGTGATATGGCCGGGTATCGCGTTCGTGCATCCTGTCGATTTCTTTGCAACTTTAGACCACTGAAATTCTCACCATTTTCTATTCGGCTATACTTTCAGCTGTTCTGTCTGGCTCCATCTGTTCATCCAAATGGGCAACCGAACGACAGTAATCGAAACCGGCGTACAAAAGTGTACGGCTTCTTGTTTGCACAAACTGAACTGAACTGACTTAGATACACACGTCAGCAGTTCACATTCGCGTCGAGTTCTATAGACGAGTGTGTCTGTTCGTTGTGTCTCTGTGTAAATGTTTGTGCACGTAGTGCTCAGTGGTTAATTCGAAATATCGTTGGAGGGATATGAGCTAGAATACGCCACACACACACACACACATTCCCACGTACATGACTGGTTTATCTTGTCCAGAATCACAAATTGGGGTACCCATGTTTGGTGATATTTTATCCTAGAATAAATAAATACCCACCAGGGGTCTATTGATTTTTTTTCAATGAGGCCTAGTTATTTCACAGCTGATGCTCCAGCAACTGTGGTCAAAGTCGATAAAGCGTACGCTTTAAAATATCATTTGACCAGTAGGATTAAAAACGTGAATTTGTGAATCAATATCATCGGCAGTCCCCTGTGAATGATGCTCGAAACACTGCGCCTCGGGAGGTTCGAAAATGTGATAAAAATCAGCCATGTTGCACGAATTTGATCAATGCCTGTAGGTGAATTGATTACGTGTCAGAAAAATATTGGATGTCACAAACGAGTCCATTCCGGGTAGAATTGATCTGTACCACTCTGTCTGTCTTTCTGTCTGTGTGCTCTCACACGGCTAGAAAAATAGTTCTTTCACAATGAGGCTTTCCGAGCACAAGTCACCACGCTTGCCAACTACTACTCCCAATTTTCTCTCCAAATTAATAGATAGATAGACACACATGACTGCGGGTTTCGTTTTTATTTATTTACTTTTTTTCTTGTCGTCTATCACCGCGGATTTACCCCAAAGTCTGCAACTGGAATGACCACTGCGCTACGATGCCTGCATTGTTGACGAAGTCTGTTTTTATTTTTAATCAAAAGTGAATAGCTCTCAACGACACGGAGTTTGATTCACGCGCTTGAGTGCCTGCCCCACAAAAAAGCGATCGGTCCGCAGAGAAGAGGTTGTCATGGTACATGCACTCGTAAAACCGGCTTTGTACTTGCTGTGCTTCCCAGCTCATCTGAATAGCATCGAATACCGTTGTTGTTGTTGTTGTTGTTCGCAGACCTCTCACCAACCAGCACTGATAATGTTGCCTAGCCTGGTTACGACGATCGACTAATTAGCATTTAACTCACAATTGCTTGTGAGTAGTGTTGTGGGATGATTGATATTGATTAATTGAGAAGAACCGATCATTCTTTAGACTTCACCTTCACCCACAATACTTAGTCCATCCACTCAACACTCTTGGAAGCACTCGATTCGAGTTTCGCTCTTATTAGA